CTATTTTTATGTTCGGTAATGCGAATCCTCATCTATGGCGATAAAGTATTTTGTCGTGGTATTGGATCATCTGATGGGGACAAACTGTAGCCCTAGTTTATGAGACATGTTTCACCTCTGCTATTTACCCGAATGATGGTTAAACGTCATCAGCACCGAACTAAAATGGTAGTATAGCGTTTAAAGTTCAGTTAGCATAATTTACTGTGATGAAAATTTTAAAATCTTCAAAACGCTAAAGTTTGTCTAGTCGTATTCGGAACAACGATTCGGAATTTTTGTTAACCAATGCTCGTCAAATTCGTAATATTTAATTTGACTTTGCAACTGTTTTGATTCGAGCGCCTACGATGAGTTTTAAATAGACAAACGAGGATCTTATAAACCTTGATGAATTTTAACAACAATTGGGTTGATGACAATGCTGGTAGATGTTTCGTCCCCGAGCCCAGTCGTCACCACTTTTGTGATGCCATGCAATATCATGGATATGTTCATTTTTCGTAAATTTACTACGAATAAAATGTTGAAATATTCAAAACGCAAATTGTTTTTACCACCAGGTGTAGATTTCCTTGGTCGTAGTTCGGAAAACCTTTCGGAATATTCGGTTATTATTGATCTTTGTAATGTTATACTTGAAATTTTAACTGATTTGCTTGGAGCGCCACTGAGTATTATGTAGACGAAACGCATTTTGTGTTTGATAAAATCTATGCATAGGTTTTATCTCTTTCCATGGACATTGAGTCATGTTTCTTTTTTTAACGAGAATATTGTTACTTACTTAAATATACTGCTGATATCAATTTTTCATTTCTATGTTACTCTTTTTTTTTCTTGCAGATAATGTTTCATTGCAGTTTTTTGATTAAAGTCTTTTTTTACAATTTCTAAAACAATTTCTATGCATTTCCTGCCTAACTTCAGATACTGTGTCTCCATTTTTCTCAGTCGATATTACAAAGTCTCTATTCTTCACGAAAAATACTTATACAAATTCAATACCCACATCAATAGTGTTAACGAAATATTCTGAAAATCAACTTACAATTGTATGGGCTCACAATCAACAGAAACATTTACCACGTGAATCATGTAAATTCCGCAACTCTGGCAGGGAGGAGAAGGTATTGTTCTATCTTACTTATATGTTTGGCTGTCGAGTTGAGCGTACCTGATAAAGGTAATTTTGGACGGAAACACGAAATGTGGGCACGAAATCAATCAAATGTTTGTTTTTTGTTTAGATTGAGGAATATAGCTAAATCGTTGTACAACTATGATAATAATTGTATTTGGATACTATTCTAATCAATGTTCTCTTTAGTTTAAACATATTTCATTGTTTAAAAGGACTAATTGATCAGACACAAGTTTTTCGATTTAGTTACGTGCTCTCTTTAATTTTCCAATCTGCATAAGAATCAGGCAGTGGTGAAAACCCGACAAATAAAAACCCATTCAATTTTACATTTATTTATGTTCAAAATGTATTATGGTGCACGAATACAACATCGTTTCCTTTTTCTGTTCTGATATTACAAGATATAATTTGGTTGAAATGCACTAGAAATTATCAATTAAGGGGAGTTAACCAAAATTGTCTAGATATTTTTCGAATAACCAGACACGCAGACACAAAAGACCTACTATTTCTAACTCAGGGGAACTACAAAATAGGATGGTTAGGTCAGTGGGTTGCTTTATGGCCATGTTTTGAAATTCTTCTAAATTGCCTGATTATTCAGTACAAAGACTGGCACTTAATAGTTTATTTTTACCTAATTTTACAGGATAACATGCCTGGAGGCAACTACCATAACTTTAGTCACAGAATATGTTTATATGTTTTTTTTTCTACCAACCTATCAATTTTTCATTGTACATCAACAAAAAGCTTTATAAATGAAAAAAAGAAAATTCGGAGTTGAAAATCAAAGTATTGTAAGTACACTGATGACCATTCTGTTCTTTTTGATTCTTATTCACACTTATTACATCTCTCCACCTAAGTTAACTGTCTGACAAAGTTTTAGATCAGGGTAAGATGTAGCTTCTATCAATTTTCAAACTTGTTTACAATATATATATATATGACCCTATTCTTTCCCATGTATATTGTTATTTCTTTCTTGAAGGGTTTACAATTCTGAAATTGTATTAAGCACGTGTTTTGTAGTGAAAATCAGGATTTTGATAAATATTATTTTTTTTCAATTACTGAAACCTATTACATAAAAAAATTACCAAAGGATATGACTGTATTGAAGGAAATGTTTAGGACCATTTGTATTAAAAAATCACAAAGTAAGATGTGACATTTTTCCTCACTTGTTTTGGAGAAAATGCGATTCTCTCATTTTGCTCATGGTTTGTATATTAATAACAGATTTTCCAGTTTGTTCAAATGAATATCAAATTACAGATCTCCAAAGATAAGTTCCCAAAAAATGTTTTCTACAGATATTTTGATGTGAATAGAAAATAATTTAGATGAAGCAATGGATATGATTTAACAAGACTTGTTAACGTCAATTTCATAATTTTGATACAATGATAATGAGGAAAAAGATGACCAATAGCATTAAAGTCAACAGAATACATTATCTTTTAAAATGATATTTCCCATTACGTATTGTGTGTTTTAAGGGTTAACCCAAGGCAGTTAAGTACATCGAAATTTTCTGTAGATATTTATATATTAAACTACAGAAATTGATAGTAAACTGTAAGAATCTTAACTTCTTTTGTACATTGTACCAATTCTAAGATTCAATTCTCTTAAGTTTAAGTTACAGTAAATGGGCTATGTCACAGATTTTCTAAAAATTTTGCATACAACTTTGGCTCGTTGAATTTTAACCGAAAATTGAAAAAAAATAATGGATTTATTTGTTTTATTTCGGAAATACTACTGATTGAATTCTTTCATAATAGATGAACATTGATTTAGAAAGCAAATAAAATCGACGAAAAACGCTCATAAATCTGTCTGAAATCATCAAATTTCGAACTTCAAATACATATAGAACCTATATATTGTTGATACATAACTTTCCGTTTTAATGATGTAAAATAATAATAGGGTCACCAACTTCGTTTTTAATGGTATTCATGGTATTATGGTTGTGTACTAGGTAAAATGAGATAAATCATTATTTTTTTTCGATTTTCAGATATAATTTAACGAGCCAAAGTTGTATGCAAAAATTTACCAAAATCTGTGACATAGCTGTTCCTTTACCTTAACTCAAAGGTCTTAGTTCTCATGAAGCCTCGTAGTTATATCGGTCATATTTATACGTTTAGGCTTTACAAAAAATATGCTGTCAGCTTTGTGAATTTAAGTTAAGCATGTAAATTGGACCGATTTGAACTCAATTGGTAAATTCTTATCAACAAAACTACTCTCTGTCTTGTCAAGTTTCAATGTGATTTTATCCTTCCAAGGGACTATTCGTGTGTTGTTTATATAGTGTTATGTGTCTCTGAACTAAATAAATATTAAATGTTCATGTAGCAATCTCCCTGCAGTACTTGTATATCTAGTATATACTTCCAAATTTGTACGATATCACAGAGCTTTCGTTGAGCTATAAAAACTTCATTGATGAAAGATTGCTGCTTAAAAGCCAGGATTTTTAAAGGTAAAGTTGAAGTCATCTCGTCGAAAGATTTTCAAGCGCCATCAGGATTTGATTATTTTGTCTACTCGCTTTAGGACTATTTTGCTCTGACAAGGACCCCGCATGTCCACAATGTTATTTTACTGGTATTACTGGGTTTGTTACATTTCTGAATGTGACATTCATTAGTAAATGTGATTTTAGAATCATGTCACATGTGATAATGCATAGCAGGAGGTACTTACCCTGTAAGCATATCTGATCTCACTTGAACTTCATGCAATTCCGTTTTGTTTGCTGACGTTTTCATCTCACAGTTGATTCAGTCTTTGTTTTTCCTGTTATGAGTTCATCGGTTGAGAAATACCACAACCTCTCCTAATTTTTCCATTTGCGACATAATTAAATGAAACTTGGCATCGAATGTTTACAGTTAAAATAACACACATGACGGGTGCTACTAGTAGAGCAGGAACGACATATATTTTTTTTGGGGTTTGTCTTATTCCTCAATGTTTACTTCTATGTGTTTTGTTTTGATAATAGTTGCTTCTCTTTTGATTTTTTGTTTTCATGGTTACAATATCATGGTTTTGATTGCTCCTGTATCTTTGTTCTAAGACATTTGTTCTTCTTTGCAAACTTCAGATATATATGATGTTCTAAGTAAGTGTTGATTGATTGCTGGTTCTTTTAACATCTAGATATTCGATACAAATTTTTGATTTTCAGTGGCGGATCCAAGGTTATCAAAATAGGCCAGTTAAAAATCATACAAAATGTTCTGAAAAACACAACGTTTTTGCAAAAAGAAGGAACAGGCTTCTTTGGAGTCGCCCCTGGTTTTGTCCTCCGAAATAGCATTCAAATATTTATATGAAATAGTGACAAGATTATACAGTTTCAGTATGTTTGCGCTAAGTTGTTATCCATCTTTTTATTTGCGCTCTTTGATATAATAGTACGTCTTATTTTTATTTGTATATTCTGATTATTACTTTAATTATTGTTGTTATTATCAATATAATTAGTATTGTTGTTGTTATAATAATCATCATTATTATTGTAGTAGACTGTAAAGAAAGCCAATGTTAAGGCCAATTGCAATCAATAGTATGTTTTAATCGTAATTATGATATTATTTCTATTATTAGTATTATTATTGTTGTTATTATCATTTTTGTTGTTCTTGTTTTCAAACTAGTACAGTTGACAGATTTTGCATATTCCGTTGTTATATTTTTTAATTTTTTTTTTATCTTACTTTACTTCATCTACATCGTTCACCTTGCTAATATTTGTCATAACTTATATACTAATTTTCTTGCACTTTTACATTTTTATAGAGGATGCCACTGTTTTTTGACTGCAAGTATATCTAGCCTTCAAACAAATGTTATAGTACATTCGTGATCTTACATTGATACTTGCAAAATTTCCAGTTGAGAAATTAAAGGTGTAAAATTTGTATTTTAATAGTTGTCATCTTAACGTATAGATGGCCCTTTAATTGATAGTTTTGGCGTAATATTATTGTTGTTTTTGAGATAATGACTCATTAAGAGTTCTATTAATATTTAGTGGATTCTCGCTTTTTTTTTAAGCGCCTTTTGGCGGTAGAAAGGGTTTTTGGAAATGCGAGTGATGGTATATACATAGTGCAAACAGTTTAATTCGGTATTTTGTAGTTTTGTTTTATAAAACTACAAAAAAAGTGTTCCTTCGAATAGTTATATGAAACATATTATTGAACTCATCTGATCCTGTTTACAGTAAATTGATTTGATTTGATATCTATGGATTGATATTGTAGAATTTACAACCTGTTGGAGTTCTGCTGTGCAATCTCTTGAATTTCTACCATGTATTAAGTTTATACCTCTCGATTTATGTTGTAGTTAACAGTATCTAAAATAAAAAGAGACATGTATACGTCAATTTCACAACATCTCAGTGACAAACAAAAAGTTCCACAAATAACAAATAATAACAAACACAATAAAAACATTAGTCCTAAAGAATTACTCCGCACTCAAACTATGAAATTACAGTAAAAATTATATTGTTATAAAATGATGGTTTTGTAGATCCTTCGGCTTCGCTAGCACAGACGAATTTGTGATTCGATGCTTTTTTTCGTGAGGAAATGATAACATAATTGATTCTTTTTTCCTCAATGCATTTCAAATTAACTTTTCAGATTGTGATAAGAAGACAACTTTGGAATAAAGAGACTGCATAGGAAAATAAATATACATATTTGTGAATTGAGTAGACACGATGAGAAAAGTAAGAAGACAAAACGTATGCTTCTTTTTCTTCTTAATAAGATTTATTCACCTAATCAGATTACTAGAACAATATATAATCTTTCAATACAAAGTTCATATTTTGTTAACAGCCTTTGAGACTATTTTACGTTTTATGGATAGGTTATCATCAAATACTGCCAGTCACTGTATTAATTTCCAAATTAGGACTTAATTTCCGCACAAAATTTCATATTGGTAAAAGAAAATCAAAGTAACTTATTCGGATGAGATTGAAGTTAGCGTGCCGTCACGAGATTGAACTTCATAAATCTGCCATTTTATCAGGTGTATATAATATGAAAAACCACATGACGGACTGTCAACCCAGAGAAGTTCATATACGGATATTGGACAGTAATCTTGTTAATTATCCAAAATCATGCAACTTCTTAAAATTTGATATTGTGTTATCATTTCGCTTGAAATAAAATATTGAAATATGATTTAATTTTGAAAATGGAACAAACAATGATTTTGATCAACACTTTTTCATCATTTCTGATTATTTTATGATAATTTGTGGAGATTTATAAACCAACCTGGATACCAAGTGGCTGTTAACTGCTTTAACAGCAATCATTATTTTGAATCAATTATGAATACTTTTAGTTTCCTATCATGCTTAGCTTTGAGGGGTCAATAAAGTACTGCTATATGTTTTAGAAATACTTATTTTTTGGTTATAAAAGATTAGAAGATCAGTTCTGATTTTCCAATCAGACGACTATTCACCATATTCCAAATGACATGGATGTAAGTAGCAATAGGTCACCGTACGTCCTTCAATTATGAACCATTTTGGATTTGAATATGTGTTGTCTGATTTTTTTATTAGTGTTTTAATTGCTTAGCATTATCACCAATCAATATCTATATCTTAAATTCTTTAATATTCAGCACGATAAAAGAATTATTTCGAGATAAACCATAGATTATTAATTAAGCTATACATATATGTATCGTTCACTGTTATATTCATTGTATTTATGATCCTCACCTGAAACTTGACATCCCTCATTTTTTGATTATCTTAGGAATCCTCCAATTTTTTTTTACATTTTGTACCAAAAATAGACGTAAAGTAACTAGTATTTTATCATTATAATAAAAAAAAAATATTCTACCCTTTTACATGTGAACAAAATAGTCGAATATTTTATTTTTGAACAGCGGTATACTACTATTGCCTTTATTTAAAGAACAGGTCACCAAAAAATTTTATTTAATCATAAATGAACTTTTAACTTTTGTTATTAGCAAAACATGCAATAAAAAGAAAGAGAGAAAAAACAAAGGAGTAATCAAAACTCATAAGTCGAATAAAAACATAACAGGACCATGGGTAAAGAGTAATCCGACGAAATCCGACGAAATCCAACGAAGAGACAAAACACTACACTGAAAACTTGATATTGAGCAACAAGATTTCAATCGAAGACAGTTTGTGCTCAGAAGTTCTTGCTCCATTAGTAGGTAACACCATGTTACTCCTGTTAATGACGTTGGCGAGTTATGTCAGGTGAATAGGCCTCTTGCAATAACTTATTGATAAATGTCTCTTAGATATAACCAAATGCATAGACAATGATAACTGACAGCAAAAAGAAAATACGAAATAGGAGAAGGGAAATACAGTCCAGAAGTACCTGAACTATTTATGGGCAATACATATTGATTTATATTGACATATGCATATTATAATTCAATTTCTAAACTTTATTGTTGTTTTCGGGATATATATAACATCTCAAATATGATTTAATACTGTCTGATTGTGTTTTGGGCGAACGTTTTTCAATCAGTAATTCGGCACCGTCGGAGTAGAATATATTTATATTTTGTGTTACATTCACTAAATGCTCATTGCAGAAAAAAAAATTGGCAGTTTGTTTAATGATATATAACCTTAAGAATTGTAAGACTGACTAGTAATATGTTCTTGGTTTGTTGTCTTCAACATCTTGCATTGAGATTTATAATGTATGAACTTCAGAAATAACGATTCAGAATGCAAAGAAGATGGTAATTATTTGATTATTTTACTCTGATGTGATGGCATTTGTATAATTCACACCTCAAAAGAAATTTAATAGTCGTAGTTTTTCTGAATACTGAAAGAGAATTTAAATCAAGGCCTTAATTCAGGTATAAAAACTGATATATAACAAAACATTAAGTTTTAATGATTTTCTTTGTTCTTTCGGATCAGGTAAAGCATTAAGAGTTTCATTATTGATAAAATCATTTTATATCAAAAATACGTTAAGTACACATCATTTATAAGTTAAAATTAAAGTAAAATCTCTTATTTTCTGATCTAAGACGGAATTACGACGGCCGCTGAACCGTCTTTGAATCTAAAACTACTCAGCATTAATTGCAATTTGACACGAACGGGCCGACTTAATCAGGTAACAGGTTAATAATGTATTCTTTCCATGTTGATTAATTACCATGATAACGCATATTGGACGGAAGTCCATCGATTTGACTAATTGTCTACCGTTGTTTAATAAAAGATGAAAATAAAAATGAAATAAAAAATACAAACATGAAAGTGAGTGATCAAGTAAAAAACGTACCGTTGATGACATCATTAACCAAGTTTAAACATAATTTTGAAATATTAATGCAGTAAAAAAGCAAAATATACTGAAAAAGGTCAAATGTTTTAATCAAATGTAACCTTTGAAAAGATTACATAATTAAAGTATAAAAGCATTTTGTTTGGTTTGTTTATCCAATGAAAAGACTGAGCTTTTAGAGGCAAAGTTTATTTATATGAAAAAGTTACGAAAAAGCGGAATTTAACTATTTAAAATAATTTTCATTTTCTAATTCCTTTTAAAAATTTTGGATTTGTTTTTTTTGTGTTTTTTTTTCATTTTAATATTTTTTTCTGCAAGTGTTAACTTTTAAAACAGATAGAAACAAAATTGATAAAAATTCCGCAAACCCAAAATTTGCAAAACGTTGTTCATTTGGGAATTCAGGATTTGTGAGTGTTACATTAAGTGTTGTTCTACAATTTGCGCTTTTTGAGGGTCACTAAGATGATGTCATTCTCTTTCAAAAAATTAATTTGGAATTGTATTGAAAGTATGTTTTCCGTTAAACATCTATATTATTTGGAAAGAGTTTCTAAAATATTTCAGTCGCTGTGATAATATATTTGAATCCTACATGCAGAGGAATTATATATAAAAATTTGTACACGTTCTATCAAATCATTTGTTTAAAAAAGATGTTTTCTAAAACTACTGTATACTCTTAAGTATTGATCCATTGAATATTGTATATTTCTATTAATAAAATTAAAATTATTTGAGGTGATGAAATAAAGCTTTGTTTCAAATAATTTGTAGATAATTGATCATTTTACAAACCATTTCTCAGAACAATGATTTCCTGGTAGAAACATTTTGACACATCAGCATGCCATATAAGGCTTGAATGTGACTGGACTATCTATTAAGAAGCTATTCGACACGAGGGTTTAATAGTAAGGTAATGTTTTATTTTATTTTTTACACAGAGGAAGTGTAGGGTACATGACAATAAGACATCGACCCAAAGACAAAACGATTAAAAGACATTTGAGGTCAATATACTACCCTAAGCAATGTAAAATGTTATGAAATAAGTTAAAAATAAAAATAACATGCATATACTATCAACGTTTTTAACATCAACATCCAATTGCCTATTTGATACATCAGATAAGTAAACTAATTATAGAAACCAGGATCAAAATTGTGTACGCCAGACGCGCGTTTTGTCTACAAAAGACTCACCAGTGACGCTCGAATCAAAAAAGTTTAAAAAGGCTTAATAAAGTACAAAGTTGAAGAGCATTGAGGACCTACAATTCCTAAATGTTTTGCCAAATACAGCTGAGGTAATCTATTCGTGGGGTAGAAAATCCTTAGTATTAATATAAAATTACTGATGAGATTCGTGACCTCATCCGATTTGGCCGCCTAACTGTTTTGATTCAAGTGTCTTGTATATGACTAATCATAACGATACTCGGTCAAGTTAGAGCAACCAAATTGCACTGATTATAAGCTTGATTTTACTTCTTTCGTTGATCTTACTTGATTGAGTACCAGAATGTCCTACCACAGAGAGGTTAACCTGAAGAAAAATATATACTCCGGAGTTAGAAGTCGGTAATATGAAAATAGTCTATTGAATGCGAATTATTTCCCTTATTGGGAATATTACTGATAATGATTCGCTGCAGCTGAGAGCAATGGTAAATAAAGGCAACAGTTATATACCGCTGTAAATAGTAAAAAGTAAATAAAAAACAATGTATCACTTTAATGTACAAACATTATCAGCCTTAAAATAGAGCTTAATTACAAGTATTTTGAAATGCAAAAGACCATTAATAATTGTTATATTTATATAAACCAAATATTAATTTTAAATCAACAGGGGTTTAAAACTGATAATCGTTGACTCTTCATTGAGCTCCATTATCGCAAAGGAGTTCTACTTCCGACAAGGGAAATAACTTGCTTCAAATTTTAATTTTACAGGAAAATTAATGATTCCGGAAATGAGTTTCTGTAGATTTATATTGACAAATATGTGTCTGGCGTAAAAAAAAAATATTAGCATTGTACCTTTGTTGAGTTTTTGGGCTATCATATGAAAAAAAAAATGAAAACAACACGTTATTGATGTCGTGCGTCTCAGGCGCTTTTCTGGCTTTACATTCATCAGGAACGCTCAAAGCCGAATATTTGAAAGCCGAGGATGTATAAGAACCAAAACAGTTGAAGAGTTATATGACCAAAAAGAACCTACAAAAAATAACATAATTCATCTAAGGTCAACTTTGCCTGATGGAGTTGAAACCTTAATTTCTCTATAACTTCAAAATTTATAAACGGACAATTTAAGAAAGATTTGTTATAAATCATGTCAATACCGAAGTACTGACTACTGAGCTAATGATACCCTCGGGGACTTATAGTCCACCAGCAGAGGTATCGACCCAGTGCTGTAAAAAATGAAAACAACACGTTATTAATTTCATGCGGACATGTATATTACTACTAATTCGGGTCGGACAGGAAGAACACATTAAGGTAGTACGTATTTCAATCTAACTTGACAGTTCTCACGCATAGCTGTAACATTCAAAATATGTAAAATATATGGGTAATTTTGAAATGTAGACTTTAGACCTGGGATCACTGTTGGTCTTGTTGAAAGTTAATTTTGGTAAATGAAATAAATTGTATAAAATGAAAACAGAAGGACATATTTTACTTGTTTCTTAGATCCTATGTACCTGTTTTGCACTTCCGTGTGCAAATCTGTGCCCTCTTAAATTCAGTTAAATGTATGGTAAATGTTTTAGCATAAGTCAGGTTAAGATGTTTGGTTTTACATGAAATGAGTGCTACCTTATCTTAACTTAAGACGTAATGGCTATAAATACTGGAAATAGTGGAATCAAAAACAGAAGGCAACAGGGTCATGAATGAATGATTTTATACCCTAAAGATAGGTTGTATAATTGCCATTGAATAAGATATGATAAAATTCTCAATTATTAAAATTAAATGATAAGTAGGGTTTTTATCGTTAAGCAAAAAAACCCAGCTGTGTATCTACATATTACTTGGTATTCAGACTCATATGTGTAAGTCCAGAGGCATGTAACTACATTGAAATTGTATATAGGCCATTAGCCAACGTATATGAATGGTATTCCAAGTTTAAATTATATGGTAGTTATATTATATATTCTGAATTTTTCCTCGATGTTTTGTAGGTTTACTTTGCACAGAAGTTTTCTGTGTGGTTTATCTTTTCATTTTTTCTTCGTTTACTGCAAACAAGTGTTCACTTCTTTTTACTCATGATTTTGAATGTACCTTTTGGTATTTTCAACATATTTGTCATATTTGAATAGTAAACATGCTAACATTAAGTGGTTGTCGTTGGTTGCTTACTGTCATATCTGTGTATCGTTCATTATTTTGTCATAAATAAAGGCAACAGTAGTATACCGGTGTTCAAAAGTCATAAATCGATTGAAAGAAAACAAATCCGGGTTACAAACCAAAACCGAGGGAAACACATCAACTATAAGAGGAAAACAAATGAACAACAGGAACACCGAAGTGCAACAAAAACATACGCAAACACACATAGAAACGAACTATTTGATAACAACTGCCATATTCCCGACTTGGTACAGAACATTTTAAGAAAAAATGGTGGGTTGAACCTGGTTTCATGGGATGCTAAACCTCCCACTTTATTACAATGTTAAAAATTATCGCTAAAACACAACATGCAAACCATAGAACAACAACGAACATATTCCATCAGGTCATTGTTGGTTTTTTTTTCTTTAGCATTTTTTTCACATTCTATCATGCCGGTGCCTTTTATATATGACTATACGGCATGGGGTTTTCTCATTATTGAAAGTTGCACTGTGACCTATAATTGCTTAAATCTTTTTGAACTCTGTTGCATGGTTGATCTCATTGGCAATCATACCACAGCTCCTTGTTTTATATAACATAATAGCCATTCTAGGAATTTCAACACCAAAAGAAAAGAATAAAACAAAAGTACCAATACTAACGAGTTAATCTAATTTGGAGCAAGTGTAAAATGTGCTGTAATATAAACTGTACCTAGACTTATCAAACCATGGGTTTTGATTAGTTGTTCCATTGAAATATCTCTTTTTATGAAATTTATATATTTTTAAAACGTTCTTTAAATTTTGTTATTCATACTGTTTTCATGTTGTCTAGTGTAGCAAAATAAAATTGTGATCTTTATATACTTAAGAAATCGCATTTTCATTGTGAGTTGCATTTCGACACAAATATTCAAAGTCGCCAAATATTTCTTTCAGGATTTTTAAAATTATAAGTAATGATCCAGTGGTATATCCAATGACAGATATTATATAATGTATATGTGGGTCACAAGGTTATATCAATTATTTAACACAAATTGAACTTTAAATGATAGTGTACATTAATGTTTAATTGATATGGTTAAAATTATAAGTTAACTGTTTTACAAACTTTTGAATTTTTCGAAAAACTACGGATATGCATTTTGCTGAACCTTTTGCAATTTTGGGTCCTCAATGCTCTTCAACTTCGTACATTATTTGGTTCTTTTAACTTTTTGATTCGAGCGTCACTGATGAGTCTTTTGTAGACGAATATATTAAAATCCCCGTATCTATGATGAGTTTATATATATTTGCGAAAAGATCACAATAACAGAGTTAAAATAGAATAACATAACATCGGAAAGGTAGGTAGCTGAGAAAAAATATAAATGCATATTTACAAAATCTATGTTAAAAACATATTCAAAAGCTTTTGAAATATAGCAATAACAAGAAAAACACGTGTTTCTTAATATTGTTTAAATCTTCAATCTATAAATTTTTTATATTCAACATACACCAATTTAGGACAAGAAAATATGAAAAATAATTTTAAAATTCTTTTTGATATTAAACCTCAATATATAAATTTATTGTTTGCAGCATACCAGTTTTATGCATACATCATGTTGGGAAAATAATAGTTAGATAGCTGAAGAAGGTGCTGATATTTTTACAAATATTATATATTTTGTATGAACTATTTTTAACACAAATATTCCATCGTTGATACATCTTTGTATTCTCATTTAAAAGAACGTTTTGCGTATAACTAATTTTTTAAAACAAAGACTAAAATAATTATTATAGAACATCAAAAGTTTTTCATTTGATATGTGGTCAATCATGATTTGATCTACCTAACATTATTTACAATTTGGTTTTATATAAATTGCTTACTGTTCTGTAAAAGTTTTTTTAATTCATCTTAAGATAGCAGGTATCATTAGTTATTTTTCATTATGTTTAATCATTATGGATTTGTTAATTTTTCATACATGCAGCTAAAAATAATTTCAAAATTTATAATTCTGCATGCAGGTATCATTGAGATATTCAGGTAGTCAGGCGGTATTCAATAATTGGTTTTCTGCACAAAAACAGTAAATAAAATTCATAGCAATAATGTAATTAATAATTAACACTTGATCTGCCACTTACAATTTCCGATAAAAGCCTAATCCAATCTCGAAATGGACACTGATGGTGCAAAATCAAACGCAACTTATTTGACGTATTCTGTCGTAAACTATATCCGTACAAACATGTGATTATTCGAACGCAACTTATTTGATATACTCTGTCGTAAACTATATCCGTACACACATTTGGTTATTCGAACTTATCCATATAAGAATATTAAGAATTTCCCAGAATCAGTAATACACAAGTGAAGTACTTTCCAATGTAAAATTCCAGTAAACATTTTTTCCTTGTAACATATACAAACGGTTTGGATGTTACAGAAAAGCTTACAAATATCTAAATGAGCTCGTGACAGTGGCCTAAGTCTTTTTATTCATGTCTCGCATGCTACATGCAAATTTTCTACATTTCGTGTGTTTCTACATTTGATGGAATATAGATTAATTAACCATATCTAGAAGAAGTAAAAAAAAACGCGACAACACACTTTATTTGCGTGCAAATTTCTATAATATGGGTGCATAATTTTAATCATTATTATATAGAAATACCGACAAGACCGTGTTTCGAGAATCCCTAAATTGACAGAAAGTTACTAGATGCACGAACTTTGTGCGTGTATTTGTAAATGCGTGATACACTGACTTGTCAAAGTCTCATCCTTATTTAAAAGCTTGTAAAGTGACTAAAATCACCTCTAAACATGAAAAATTATTTAAGGAAATTGGCCGTTGAAATGAATTACGGCTTCAATACTAATATTTGCTTAAGACACGATTCAAACTAGGTTTAACAGGAATTATATCCTTATAGACACATGAAATAGCTACGATTATTTCATTCAATGTCGACATAGGGAAGAAAAGGCACTTATTTCACAATAACGTGACGACCATCCTAATCTCTTTTCAAATTTAAATAATTAAGAATTTTAGATCAAATATCATTGTAATGTCATTTATTTTAGATAACTTTTTTGTTAACATTTCTCAAACATAGTTTTTAAATGGAATAATGTAAACAAATACATCTTTTGGAATTGGAATATTTTTTATCATCTGAGTATGTTTTTACTTTTTGTTTTGTCAATTCGAAAACTAAACTAAACTTGAGAAGTTAAATGTATACTACAAAAAAACTGTATATTCTTCATACTTTAAAACGTATTTCCCTATATGGTATAACAAAAATCAGAACAGAATATACAACAACAACAACTATACAAATATTATTATAAATATTAATTGATAAGGTGTTGTAATAAATGTCAGAAAACGTCAAATTTTCCATGACAAGGTAATTGAAATATTCAGAAATATATTTAAGTGTAAGAAAATTTTTGATATAGATATTTCTGGAAGAGAACTGTAACAGATACTTGGATATTGAACCATTGCGAAAATTTCCATCCAATCATATGATATTATGTTTCACGTCAAGATTAATCTTCGACCTTTTACTTATCATTTAACCAACCCCTTTTCAATAGCTCTATAACTTAAACCAAATATTGTGTAAAAAATGCTTTCCTACCATAATCGTTTGGTATAATTGCTTTTGTATTACTGAAACTGCAGTAATTTTAGTTGCGATGTTGTACGTTAATATGTCAATGAATCTTGTAAAATTGTACTCATGCGAACTTGTAAGGGATTCCGCCTGGTTAATTTTATGTAATGACCCTATACATGACACAATCCATTTCCTTACGTTTCTACATGAAGATTTGGAATACAATAGATTATCTTGATTTTGTGGTGTTTTTAAACAAAGAATAATCTGTCATATGTACAAATAATAAATGTAGTATTCACAGTTCTACACTAGAAATACATAAATCACATTGTTTTACACCTGGTTTGGTTCTGGAACCAAATATTGACAGGTGGGAGAAAAACATCAATTTCAACTTTGACAGAAACATGAACTAATTATATTTGAAATTGTATTAGCTAAGGAGTTCTTTAATTAAATTTAACTTTATCATTAATAACGTTTGCTGATTATGTATAGCAATGCTTACTATTTCAATGAATAAATGAATTGAATCAAAACTTTGCTTTGCTCTGATACATTTCGGATTTGTTAAATAATATACAGATAAAACATTCACAATTTTCTTATCCTAGGAATAGATAGACCTTATCTGTGTTTGGCAAAACCTTTCGGAATTGAGGTCCTCAATGGTCGTCAACTTTGTACTTTATTTGGCCTTTTTAACCTCTTTATGTGAGCGTCACAGATGAGTCTTCTATATACGAAAAGCGTGTCTGGCGTACAAACTTTTAATCCTGGTATCTGTGATGTGTTTATCCATGATGAATGTATTTGACCACTTCGAGGCACATCCCGAAACTGCTATTTGAAAATTACATCTTATCTCCATTAATATATAAATAATGCATATAAACATGTATCGATTATTGTTTCATGAACTGAATGCTGATTCCGAATGCATACCCACACTAAAGAAACAGGGTTCTACCAATTCTGTGTTTTTAAAGTTGTATATTATGTATGTCCTAAACTTCATTTCCAAATGTCATGTTTGGAAGACCTAGTATAGCAGCAATTATGTTTAGCCCGGAGTATCCATCAGATATGAGCAAGATATCTTTTTTTCTTTAAAACGTAGATTTGCATTTGGAATTCGAATGTTCGTTACATCTGACTTTACATTGACTTCTATGTCTGGGTGGTAGTGCTTTTATAAATCACATTTCAAATAAAAATGTTATTGCGTTTTCTTTCGGATATCCAAAATGAGCATGTGTATAGGAATACAGCTTCTAGTAATATAGCAGACAGAATACAAAATATCAAATGTACTGATATTGAATGTAAATTCTGTAAATTACAATATCGTGATTGACTGGTTAGTCTTCGATCTTAGGACGAGCTTCGGAAAGAATTTGGTAACTAGACATTTCATGGAAGAATGGTCAATGATCAGATTGCGTCCGTTTGTTTTTTTTAGATTTATTACGTCAATCGGATACCTTATTTAGATGAGCAAAGACAACTTTCAACATCTCTGTAGAGGAATCACTAGATGACTTATCTTTTGGTCCAGTAAACTAGTTTTTTTATAGCATACCTACTAGTATTTGACTTTTTGCAAACTTTTTCTCATCTTGAATAGCATGACATACTTGCTACTGGACGTTTACCAAGCAACAAATTATAAATCAATCGATGTATATATCATCATAATTGTTAATTTGGTATTTTTCAATTTACCGAGTCATTTCATAAATTCTCTGAAAGTTGGTAAAAATCAAAATTTCCATATCCATGTTTGTTTCAAGAAAATACAATTAAACAAGCATCTCCCCTTTCTTCTGTAAGAGTACAAGTATGTTTAAATCAAATCTGATTACTTTTACTATACATCAATTTGATTATTTTACGAAAGATCTTATTTTACAAAACCTTCCAATAAATTTCCAAGTACAAATTTGAAAAAAAGGTTAATTAATATTCTGTATTCCTTTATAAATTGTTTACTTTTCTCATGTGGCGAGCAGTAATGAAACATTTTCGTAATCTCTCTTATTATTGTCAATTTGAACAATGTTCCTCAGACGACAAATGAACATTTCCAAGACAACAAATTCGAATATTACCATCGCAAAATAACTTTATTCATTTTTCATTTTATTTCTTTTGCAACTTAATTTTCTTGGTGTTCCCTTAGCGAAGCCGGTACCGATACATTGTAACAAGTTATTATACACATATAAAAGATTGCGTGCAAAGAACGGAAAGTGAATTCATGCTTTGCATCTCTGGGATTTACCTCGCGTGTGGAAAGGCAGACGATCACAAAATGTGATGGCAGCTGTCGAAATTACCATTAGATGCGACAGAATCGTTTGTTTACTAATTTAGATTGTCAAAAAGAAGGGAAAATGCTAAATAATTGTCAAATGGTGCAATATTTCAACATTTGGCAGTATTGTATTCATTGACGGTATCATCTTAGGGTCATTTTTTTCTGAATGCTAAAGGTCACTCAGTTACAACAGATAATTACAAATTTTTAACCAAGAATCAACAAAGTAACATTTTTTATATACTTTATATTTTGTTGCTTATTATTTTGAAAAAGAAATTACATTTGCGATATTACGAGGTAAAACTATATGTTACGTATAAAATATACAGTACGCGGCAAAATCGAAATTGCTCCGTGTATTTTTTCTTAAAATGTCATGTACCAAGTCAGGAATATGGCAGTTGTTATCAAATAGTCCGTTTCTATGTATGTTGGCGTTTGTTTTTGTTTCAGTCCAGTGTTTCTGTTGTTCCGTTGTTTTCCTCTTATAGTTGATGTGTTTCCCTCGGTTTTAGTTTGTAACCCGGATTTGTCTTCTCTTAATCGATTTATGACTTTTGAACAGCGGTATACTACTGTTGCCTTTATTATCTAGGCTATAAAATCAGTACAGTTCTTCAGATTGTGAGAATTTGTTATGTTTGCTATAATTCACATTAGTAAGGTTTATGTCACTGTTGATGGACAGAAAGTGGGTAGTGTACCTACCGATAAACTGTATGTGGTCGAAAGTATCGTTCGCCTAGTTGTTACTTCTCTAATTCATATATAACTAAAGATTTCCAAGTCATAAACACTAAACTGTTTTAAATTTAGGCTGCCAACACCCTATGTATGTGACCGTTTTAAAGAAGTGTTGCCATGTATCATTGGTTTGGGTTTAATTGTGTATCTATTAAATGGAGTATAAAAAAGCATTTCGAATGCAGAGATTTTGAATAAAAGAAGATGTGAGTAGCTGTTAATGACATAATGACTTACCATTTGAAGGTTAACACAGTGCACTCTGTAATTTATTTTGATTAAGAAAATTATGGTTTGAAAATTTATGTAATTATTGAAACATAAACTGTGTACATTGGGAAATCCTAAGTTATTCAATTATCTTTCTAAATATTTTGTCATATATATACATATAATCAATTACAAATTAGAGTTGAATAAAACTATCGGTAATTTATTTCTATAAACTAAATTAATGTCTTTTCATAATATTGTACTTGTTAAATGTCTATAAGATTCTTCGGAAAGCATGTCTTGTATTTATTTGAAAAAAAAAAACACAAGAACTATTTAAGGTCATTTAAAGTTATGTCTTTGAAACATTATTTAGTTAAATTATGTCAGTGTAAATTGAATGTAATTATAGATACTTTAGTGTAATTTGTTTGCTCAAGTAGTGAAAACCAAACAAATAAATTGCTAAAGGAGTAAAAAAAATATGTCGGACACTTAAATTATGATCATACAAGAGCTTTATAATATTAATCATTTTGTCAAAATAAAAGTTGTAAGTTGTATTTAAAACTTGTCATAGAAAATTGCCTATCTTATATAACAAAAGTCGTTGGTACAATCTCAAATATTCGTTAATAAATATATTTAAGATTTTTGTTTTTCTCTTATAGCAAAAAAAAAAAACAAAAACAAACAAGACACATGGGTCCGATATGTTTATACCAATGGCTATAATTCTACAATCACTTACTAAATGTGTTATTTTCTTCATTGATATTGAATCATATATGAATGAGATGCATAGCAGGAGATCCTTTACATGTCCAGACACCTCGTCGCATTCCTGTCCATAATTCGTGTCCATAATAGATAAACATAGGGGATGTTATATATGCATTTTTGTTGAAATAAGCACTTAAAATAAAGTCGAGAATGACTGTTTAATTTGGTATTAGATTTCTTTTGTTTTTTATAAGTATTTTAGGGTATGACTATGTTCCCTTCTATCTATATTATGGTAAATGATACACAACAAAGCTCAAGATATTGTGCAATGTCTTTTAGTTGGTTACTTTTGTTGAAATAAAGTTTTCTATGTAAAGGCTGTAAAGTATGAGAA